GACCTCGGCCAGGTTCACCTCGGCCCTCATACTTAGCATCTGTCAACGCTAGTGGTGGTGATCTCGGCGGTCCGAGCTGGGCATGACTCATGAGTCATCTTGGAGCACCAATAGGGGTCCTCTACGTGTCCAGGGTATTCTCTTCCCCAAACAGCATTTATTTGTTTGTCGTAAACGACCTTTAATTTCCTGATCTGCTGTCGTGGTTTTCCAATTAGTGGGAGGAATGGGTCGTATACTAAAAAAAAGAAATAAACGGCGGATGATTAATCTGTTGTTATATGAAATTAAACTATTAATATTTTAAGTATTTAGGATCCACTGAACTATATTAATCAAACTCGCCTATCATAATAATTTCCCCATTCTTCTTTAAACCAGCTAGATTATTGGATCATAAAAAAATTTGTAAAATCCGAACCCACCCAAGTACAAAAATGGTAGATTTGGAGTAGAAAGTTTAGATTTTGTGTAATCTTTTCCCAATAATATAATATAATTCTATATCAATTAATATTCATAAACCCCCCGTAATATAGCACAAAGCTTAGTGGTAATCTCTAGGAATAAGACAGAGAAAACAATTAACAATATGAGATAACGTATTTGTAAAGCGCATCCAATTCCAGATACAGTCGACGGGCGGTGAGAAAATAAATTTTAATTGAAAATTTGCAAGGAGGAAATTTGTCGCTCCCACTCCCACTCCCACTGGTTTACTCTCCTCTATTCCCGGATTTGAAACGTCTAATCAAACTTAAAACCACGTGCCACTCCCCACTCATTAGTCATTAATTACAACTTGCTCCTACAAAAACCCAACTCTACCCCTCCCCCTCTTCCCTCGACGCGTGGTTTACAGGGGGCATTTATGTCCAGTAATAAAAATAACCAACCACCTCGACCACTGAAAACAAAGAAAACCAGGGGCCTTTTTGCCCCGGTGTAATCTCTCTATATAACCACCATCTCCAATTCCTCCTCTCCATCAAAATCTCAGAACGCAAAACATTCAAAACAGAGAAAAAAAATGAGTTCCGGAAGAAGAGGTTGGGTTGTAGCGGCGAGCGTGGGTGTGGTGGAGGCCTTAAAAGACCAAGGAATTTGCCGGTGGAATCATGCCATAAGATCGGCGCAGCAGTACGCCAAAAGCCACGTCAGATCTGTTTCACAGGCCAAGAAGCTTTCTTCTCCGTCGGCCGCGGCGGTTTCCGTTTCCGACAAGAAGCTGAAGCAGTCGGAGGAATCTTTGAGAACGGTCATGTACTTGAGCTGTTGGGGTCCAAATAATTGACCCACGTCGACGGTGCCGGCGCCGGTCCAAGTAGAGCTTAATTAGCCTAAACGGCGATTCGAGGGAGATTATAATTTTTATTAGTTATTAATTAAACAAAGCATTGGAAATAATGGCGCTTGCAGTTGAATTTGCAAGCGTTATTGTACTGTACATATATATCCATTCCAATTCCAAATTAATTGGAGAGCTTTGATCTCTGATGACATATTTAATGCTTGGGTTCTGAAAAGTTTTAATTTAGTTTTTATAATTCTTTTACAATTTCGCCGATAATAAATTTAAATTGGAGAGCGACAAAAAATTGGGGAAAACTTTTTGATTCCTCTTTCAAATTAATTTTGTTCTCTCTAAATTTGCACTATCAGTTCATTTTAATATTTATAAATAGTAAGAGAATAAATTAAAAAAGATTAATATTTGAAGAATTAGACTATAAAAGGTTAGACTATATACTTAATTTGAAAATTTTGTTTTTATAATAATTTTTTAATATTGACTCCACGTCATTTCAATAGATGACAGATAATGAATAGATGAAGTTTTATACTGATCAATATTGAGATGTTAAATTTACGCTTTCATTTAATGAGCAATTAATACGTTTTTGTCCTCACCCAAAGGAATGGACCTTATCCTCAACCGAAGAACTTTAATTTCAATTTTAGACAAATTACATTTTAACTTATTTATGATCACTAGACTTGGTCTTCTTCGTATTTGGTTTGAACTTTCTTCATTAACAGTATGTTTGATAATGATTGAATGTTGATGTATTTGTTATTTTCCTTGTTAAAAATGGTTGGATTACATCTAATTGGATAAGTTTTAGGCATTAAAAATGTCATCTAGAGTCATTTTCTCAATTTTCTTTTTTGATACACATTTTCTCAATTATTTTATAGGTATAATCCAAACATGATGTTTTAGGTGTGAAGGCACTAAATTTTACAATTGAAGCCCAACGATTTTGACAAGCCTATATTTACTAATTAAACTAAACTTGATTAGTAAATGTTATCTTGTTTCTGATTTGTAAGATCTTTGGAATATATTATTGATTAGTAAATGTTTTCTTGTTTTTGACGGCGAATGCAATCTTTGAAATATATTAAAAGCACAATCTTTGAAATAAATTAAAAGTACAAGGGATCATGAACAAAACATCGGAAAAGAATAACTAATAAAAATAATAATTAAAAATAAGATATATGATTTTTATTTTTATTTCTATTTTTTTAATACAATATAGATAGATGAATATTCGAACTCACAATCTTTTGATAAAAAATAAATACCTAAACTTTGAGATATTTATTTAATTAGTTGTCACCCTCTATAAAAATTTAGGAGGGATTTACATTATACATGTGATTTTCTCTTAATAATATTAAAAACTATATTTAGGTACTTATTTTACCTACCACCAATTAAAAATGGACAACTATTTTTTTAAAATTATTTTCTCTCTCTTAATTATCATATTTTTTTTGTGATAGTCCACTCAACCAAAAAATTTAAGTTTATGGATTGGATAAATTTAACTCATTTATATGGATTCTTAATAGTCTACTAAATACCAAATAAATACTACTCTCATGGATTGGTTTTATAATGGACTATTGAGTTTTCTTTTGATCATGAATTTGTCACCTTTTAATCTTGTTGAAATAATTTCTCTTTTTTTCTGGCTCTGTCGGTTATGTTTGTGTCGTTTTTTTTTCATGTTTTGTTATGAGAGGTTCCATTTTTTTTTTACTGTGGCTTCATTTTAGGGGGTGAGATAATCTATGTAGGTAACGTTTGCAAAAGAAAAAGAAAAGGAATTTCTCACTTTTTTAAATCTGATTTATATTCAGTGTGATTCAGAAAAATAAAAATATTGGTGAAACTTAGGTCTGTTTGATTGCAAATTCGTATTATATATATATAGTTCAGTAGATTCAGTGATTTGAGAGATTCGTTTTTTAATATTGTTTTCGGATTCTATGATCCAAACCGTAGAAATTCTAAAAACGACTTGTTTATATTTTCAGTGTAATTTCAAGATGCCGAATTATATTAAAAATGATAAAATGAAATTAAAACAGATAAAATACAATGTATTCTAAATTATATAACCTTGTAAAATAATAATCATACAAAATTCATAAAAAAAGTTAATAAATTAATTAGTATAAGTTTAGATTACACTAAATATTTAGTTGGTAACTATTTCCGATTTACCAATATATTACTGAATGCACCTCAAATAAATTTTTAAATTGAGATTCAATTATAAATATATTGTCAAAATAAATATTTGAAAAAACACTAAAAATAAGGAATACAATTCTAATTTTTATTGTTGCACCTTCATTATTTATTTCCTAAAAAGAGCTAATTAATATACGTTGAGTTCTGTTTTCTTTGCGGCACTAGATCAGTTAAGACCGACACGCGATCACACTTGCAAACCAGTGGGTGGGAGCGAGTGGTTTACGTCCCAAACTTCGAGCTCATAACAAAACCAACTGAATTTATGGAGAAATGGACCCAGTTTTCTCATTTGTATCCCTACCCTATCTCCAACCTGCTCAGCATCAGCAAGGGCAACCCAGTCATTTCGCATTAAAGTGCAGAAACCACTGGCCTTTTTGACGTTATTTTGTTAAATAAGCATTTGCCTGAGGTTTTTGGGTATTCTATCGGCCACGGACCCCATTCCACGTTCTTCACAACAAACCCAACCCAATAACTCATGTATATAAATTAGAAGCCCCAGCGTTTACCTCAATTTCATCAAACATATATTTTCGAACCAAAACTGAACCTTAACGTACTACACAAAGATGTGTGCCGGAAAAAGTTGGACGGCGGCGGCGGCGAGTATTGGGGCGGTGGAAGCCCTGAAACTGAAAGACCAAGGTTTGTGCCGGTGGAATTCTGCGGTGAGGAATTATGGCAACGGCCACCCGGCGGCGAGAACTCTTTCTCAACCCAATAATTTTTCTTCTTCTGTTGGCGGCGATTCGAGTGAAGTTAAAAGGGAAGATCATAAAGCCAAGCAGTCTGAGGAGTCTCTTAGAACCGTCATGTATTTGAGTTGTTGGGGACCTTATTGATTCCTTTTCAATAATGTCGTGTGTAACATTTTTGTAGAGTTTATTTCATCAATGAAATCGAATAACGATCAGAAATTTACACAATTCAATTCGGAATACAGAATAAAGTAATCGTCTTTTACTCTACATATATTTCAAAGAATATTGTTGAGATGTGAATATAGCCTCGAATCTCGGAAAAAAGAGCATCGTCTATAGTATATTAAATTGAGATATCTACATTTGTATGGTTTGTTTCGAGGATATATCTCAAGTAAATTCATGCGGATTTTTGAAGAAGAGTGTCTTTTTATTCTCAACAAGATAATTTTAGATAATCTTGATTCATTTATAAGTTATGAGTGGTTAAATTACTTTTACAATTATAACTTTACAATGGGTCAATCTTTTTAACACGTGAAAATAAACGACCACTTTAAACGCCTCAATATATGTGAGTTGAATTACTTGATAGTTTGGTAAGGTTAGACTATAATTCAAATAATTCATGACTAGACATATTGAGATCAAGTTGACTAATTAATGGACAACTTTGACTTTAGGGTTAAATTAAGTGGATACTAGGTTAATCAAGGCAAGTTCGAGTCATGTTACACCAATTAAGATGAAATTACAAGAACCTTCCTATTGATTTTGATAAGATATTACTTCCAAATTGTCCCGTCTTGACACTAAACAAGATCGAAGGTTGGTCTTTAAATTTGTTGTGTAATGTACTTAATGGTCAAATTATGCTGTCCCTAATTCCATCCTCAAAATTTGAGAAGAGGGCCTTCCCCATATCTTCCAATAATGAACAGAAACCTCCCAAATATGTTAATAAAACCATCGTACAAAAAGGAAAGCACTTTCTTCCCTTTGTGAAAGAGAGAGAAAATGGGTTGGGTTCAGATCAATTCCAAGTTCATCTCCCCTATCATAATGTCCCATTATATTCCTATACTTTAATACACGACAAGACTGCATTATTGTGGGTGCTATATGGGCTCCATAACATTGATTGAAAGTTGTTTTATTTGGGACATTCCATCAAACTACTCTCATTCTTTCTATAAATTAACTCAAGTTTGTGATAAAAGTTTTTTGTAATTATACATATATTATTTCAGAAAATTAACAACATATCTAACCAAATGCCAAATTTCTTTCTTGTCCAACCTAGAATTTGCGTAGCAATCAGACCAACAAGGGCTATATAGTCATTTGGTCACCGTTTGTACCCACTAAAAAGTAAAAACAACTGGCCTGAGGTTTGGGTTTTCCTACATTCCGTCGGCCATGAACATACGAAACCAATATTAATTGTGGTTGTACAAACAAAAAAAAGAAAAAACCTTTTTCTTCTAAAAACTTACAAATTTTTCTTCCCACCTTCTGAAAACCTAATAATAATTTATAATAGACATGGTCTAATTTAAGAATAGAATCTGATTGAGATCGATGAATTAAAAAATTATCATCTTTAATCAGGATTTATAACAAACATCAACTTCTTTTCAAGCGAATTAAAATTGAGCAAAGAATATGTGAAGAATCACTCATGTACTTTGAATATTGGTCCTAACTCCTAATTCATGACAATATTCAAACCTTTTTCGGACAATTATGTGTATTTAATTTCTCGTAAATCATTGATTATGTTCTATGACAATTTCCCTGGTCAGATTTTAAGAAGAGTTGTGTTCATCAAAAACCCCATCCAGAAAACTGACTGCAAGCGTAAAATTAAAATACTAAAAATTTTCGTATTTTTCAACCAATCCCCCAATAAACTAAAGAGTTGTTCGTTGTTAGGTTATCCCTTTCATTTCAACTGTGTTGGAGCTCGAAATTGCTGAGCTCGGTGCAAAGTAGATCGGATAGTACGGAATGAGCTTCGGCCAACTGTCCAATACCTTCCCAGAACACTTGAGACCTACAAAACAAAGTTAGCACTCCGACGAACAAGTCAGTTCTAGTCCGAGCTAACTTGCCGAGTCTATCTAGGATTGCGTACCTTGCATTTAAGGCAAGGGTTTCTATTTATAGAAATCGGGCCCGACAGGAATTCTGACACACCCTACAAACGCGGCGCGTTTTCGGGTACGGGAGAGACATTGTTACGGACTTTG